AGCCATCGGAGAGGCCGGCACGGGGCCGGAGAAGCCGCTGCCCAGACCCTGCCGCTGCCTCGGGCTTTGCTGCGCCGAGACCCATGGATTTACCCGGTCTCGGCCTCCCGAGCGCGCGGCCGGGCGGCAGGAGGAGCCTCCGCTCCCTCCCAGCGCCGTCCCCTGCGAGCAACGCGCGCCCGCTTGCGCTTCCGCTTCGCCTCGTCCTGCCGCAGGGCCGAGCAGCCGCTTTCCCAATGGATTTCCTCCTGGTCGGCGGGAAGTGGCGTCTCCTCGCCCGGCCTCGACGGCAGGAAGGAGCTAACGGCCCCGCAGAGGACAGGGCCAGCGGAGCCCGAGCGCCCCAGGGCCGATGGCGATCAGGCTGCTGCGAGCGAGGCCAAGCCGCCGGTCCCCGCGTGCAGCTCCTGCCGTTCAGCTCATGTTCAGACTTAGGCTTTTCTTTGCCTAAAAAGCACAGCGAACCCAGTCACTCACATCCAGACGCCGGCAAGAGCTTGTTGTTTCGTGCAGCGCTAGTGAGTTGTTGCAGCAGCGAAAGCGCCTTTTAGGAACGCGCTCACGCCGCTCTCTTGCAGGTTCACCCACCCGCTGATGCTGGGCTCCGGCATGCACACCACCGGCATCCCGCACCCCGCCATCGTGCCCCACTCCGGCAAGCAGGACATGGAGCACTACGACCGGAACATGTGAGTCCGCGAGCGCTGTCCCCTCGGATGCTTGTCCCCTCGGATGCTTGTCCCCGGTCCTTCCCCCGCTAACTGCTCCTTTTGCATTCCCACCAAGGAAACCTCAGCCCGAACCAAAGCGAGAGAAGGAAGCCAAGAAGCCCACCATCAAGAAGCCCCTGAACGCTTTCATGTTGTACATGAAGGAGATGCGGGCCAAGGTCATCGCCGAGTGCACCCTCAAGGAGAGCGCGGCCATCAACCAGATCCTGGGCAGGAGGGTGAGCGCAGGGGACCGGCACCTCCGCCACCATCCCCGTCCATCCCAAAGGATGGAGCAGCCCGTCCCGGGCATCCCCTTGTCCCGCGGGCGCTGGGGGCTGGCAGGGGGGAGGCGGCAGAGGGGCTTTTCCCTCCCTTCTCCTTGCAGTGGCACGCGCTGTCGCGGGAGGAGCAGGCCAAGTACTACGAGCTGGCGCGCAAGGAGCGGCAACTGCACATGCAGCTCTACCCCGGCTGGTCCGCCAGGGATAACTACGTGAGTGGCGAGCGGCACCCCGGCAATCGCCAAACTCTCCCCTGCCGCCCTGATTGCTTTCTTTCTTGCTGTGATTTCTGGGGCTTTCTCGTGCTGTGCAGCAGTAGCGCCACCCAGGACACACGTGCAATCGCATGCGTAGAAATATCAGCGATGCTGTGAACATCCCCCCGGCTGTGCATCTTTGCACCGCTGTAGCCTAAACGTTATGTTTATGGAGAAGCTCTCTGCACCAGGAGCTTCCTACCACCTTCACCCAAACCACAGGAATTCTCATGGAAAGGCACAGGTGGAAGCCGGCTCTCCCAGGGATGTTTTCCCCGCAGGCTGGATTTGCTCCCCATTAATATAAGTCAGGAGGATGTGGAGGACGTTGTTATGTATTCTGGGTTGGAGAAGCAGTCTGGGGATAAAGTTGTGTTTTCCCATTAATGAGGGAAGGAAACAGAGGAGTGCTAGGTGGGTCCAGAGCTGGGAAAGAGCCGAGATGAGTGTTCCCAGGCTGGGGGGTCTCTAGAAACTTGTTTTCCATTAAAATCAGGAGAGGGGAAGGTGGAAGGCGCTAAATGTGTCGAGTGCTTTCCAGCCACATGGAGACCCACACACAGGGTCCAGATCCGGTGTGGGGCAAAATGATGGGCCTGAGGGCACTGAGTTCATGGGTTAAATCTTGTTTAGTTCCAGTCAATAGAGCAAAAATGGCTCAGATGCTGGGGATTAGTCAAAGCCCCCACGGTGTGCGGCTCAGGGATGCTGGAAATGATGCAATGATTAACGGTCTTTTCCTTTCGCATCCTAGGGGAAAAAGAAAAGGCGGACACGGGAAAAGCAGCAAGATTCCAACTCAGGTAAATGCCCTGGTGCTAAGCCGAGCGCGTTGCTCCGTCGTTGTCACTTTGGTTTTGCTCGGAGTGGATTGTCCAAGGGAAAAGCAGTTGCCATATTTTATTTATTCTCCTGACCTTAACTAAAGGAATATGTTTTTGTTTTTTTTTTTTAAGGCAGAGTCTATTCACATTTCTGTGACTTACTCACAAGCATGTGTCTGCATTAGAACAAGGGTAGTTCAGGAAAAACAAAAAGATGAGGTTTTGGCAAGAGCGTAACGTCATTTAAGCTGTCAAGCTAATTCCCTCCAAGCAGTGTCCCTGTCATGCATTTTTGACACAGTTGAAGAAGACTCCTCTGAAGTACCTGAGTATTGTGGGAAGGAACCAAATGCAGTGAAAGACATGAAGGTTACCCAGGAGAATGCCCCCCAAAATCACTTTTCCTCTCAAAGCAACCCCCAGTTCAAGTCAGGTGATAGTAAAAACCCGGCAGCAGCATGGCAGGTCCCTCCACTCTACAAAATTCTGTTTATCAGAAACTTTCGGGCAGTTTTCCCCAGGCCTCATTCCAGACTGTTCCCACGCGGAGTTTTAAAGCATTGCTGCTTCATGATGTCCGGTGTTGTGGCCATGCGGGGCAGCAAGCCAAGACCTTGGGCCGTTGGATGCTCGCTGCACATTGCAGCCGTGGGCTGCATCCATGCAGCCCAGAATCCTGCAGCTGGTGCTAATGCGTCAAACTCAGGTTATGTCAATAGCTGATTAATCCTCTCTGAGTGACCTCTTTGCTGTGAGATGTCCATGCAGCTCTGTAGATGTGTCCCAGGAAGATCTTCAGTTTAGGTGACGCTGCTGCTCTTGTTAAGTGCCCAGGCCGATACGGGAGCTACGAGCTTTTAGGGTTACGTGTATATGTTGCAGGTGCAGTGTATAAATGGTGATAAGTCCCGTATTTGTACGTCAACACCGCAGCATTTTAGGAAAGGCCACGGAGCGCAGCTGGAAGGGGCTTTTGGGGAGGCAGAGCAGCGCTGCCTGGGCTCCTTGGTGCCACCTCTGCTTTCCGCCTGCTTCTGCACCGTTTCCTCCTCTTCTCTGCAACGCGGGAGGCGCTCGGTGGCCGCAGGGTAGCTCGCTCCCAATGGAGGCTCCGGAGCTGTCGGGAACGATTCCTGCCTGCGGATGGGAAGGCGATGGCCGAGCTAGGGAAGTGCCAGGAAGTGAGAGGAAGAAACGCTCCAGCTCTCCAACCCTCCCTCTCCTGCGACCTAGACATGAGCTTGACATTTGCCTAATGGTCCCTTTCTTGCAGGAGAGGTGGTGCCCGCGTAGCGGCGTCGCAGCCAAACGCGGCTGCAGCCTGGTAGTTACGTTAAAAAAAACCCTAAATGACGTTGCATCTTCTCTCCCTCCCGCTGCCGCGGCTCTCTCTGTGCCTCTGCTTGCCTGCTCTCGCCGCATGCCTCTCTGCTCAGATCCTGCCTCTCCTAAGAAATGCAGAGCCCGCTTTGGCCTCAACCAACAAACGGACTGGTGCGGCCCGTGCAGGTGTGTATGGGGATCCCCCGCGGCACCGCGGCTTCTCCCGGGGCGCCTTCCGAGGGGCCGGCTCCAGATTTTGCCCTAGCAGCCATAGGCACGTTGTGTCTTACATGTTTTTTGGGGGGTTGCTGCCATGCCTGGTGGTAGACGATTCTCTTTTTTTGGATGTCATTTCTCCTCCCTGCTGTGTTTCCGAGAAGAGTCCTCCTGTGGGATCTCCTTGCAATGATTCCCTGTTGCAGAAATACCCTTGTAGGGCCGGTAGTGAGCAGACAAGGTGCTTCTTTATTCTAGTTTTACCTGGGACTAGCCCTGCCCTAGAGATCCAGCTCTTGCTGCTTCTGCAAGTGGCCTGGAGCTTTCACTGCATTAGGGGTACGATGAGCTCCAGCAAGGAGATGTTTGGTGAGTGCTCCATGATGCCTCCACCTGCAAAGGACTGAACCCATAAGGGCAAATCTAAAAGCTCGAGCCAAATAAATATGACCTGGTTCAGAGTGTCTTCCAATGGACCCAGGTGGAGAAAGGCCCCCAAGCAAGGAGAGGATGCAAAATTATTTATTCTCCCTGAATCTGAATCACAGGAATGCAGTCAGTCACTCAGGTCTGGACACTGCTTGGTCCCTGATCTCAGCAGCAACCAAAGTGATAAGCAACAGTGTCCAGATTGCTTGGGATTGACCCAAACTGGTTAAGAATAGCAACCCTCCACAAGCCTCTCTTTTTTTCAGGCCTGCAGGAGGTCTGTCACTGCCCTGGCAATGAGCTCGGTGTCACCAGGCCAAAGGAGGCTGAATAAGGTCTTTCAAGTAGTTCTGGGTGATTTGAACCAGCAGGTGCTTTATCTTTCTTCCAGAGTATTTTTATTACTTATTAGTAGCTTAGAAGTACCCCACACTTGCACTGAGTACAGTGGATGATGCCACTCAAGCATCATCTTTTCCTACTTAGGAGACTCGACAGAACTCCCCGAATGCCTCGTTAACAATTTCCCCCAAAGTGCTAATGTCTTGCAAGTATTTTAAGTATTAGATGAAGACCAACGTGGGGGCAGCTCCAGGTCTTTGGGCAGCTTCATTTGAGCTCTGCTCGCTGAGCTCCAGCGCTAACCCCTCGCCTTGCTTCCCCCGTAACGTGGCGGCTGAACTGCTCTTACACCTCAGCATGCTTTCTTGGGTTTTATTTTCAACCTTTGCCACTCAAATACTGTTTAGTAACAGCTGTTCTGCAATTTCCAGTACTAATGTGCTGCTGCCAGCGCAAGGACTTCTGCCATGTACGTGCTGGTCCTGGCACCTGCTGGGAGAACCTTCCACCCGAGAACTTCCCTCCCAGGCTGGGAGACCTTTAACGGGTTGAAACAGAGTGTTTCTGCATTGGAGTTTCACCTGCCTCTCCCTCCCGGGGCCAAAATGGTCCAGAAGGAGACCAGGGAGATACGGATGGATGGATGGATGGATGGATGGATGGATGGATGGATGGATGGATGGATGGATGGATGGATATCTCCTTTTAGCTGAATAGTAGACATGTCAACTGTAGGTCACTAAAGGGCTCATTTAGTCAGTAATTTGTAAACATCAGGTCTGCTTTTTGTCTGTATTTGTAAACCAAACCAGATCTGTGTCTTGATGACATCCTGTCATTTTATAAGAGGTTTTTGAAGGTCTTCTTCCAGCACCCACTTCTGAAATGCCCGGGGAAAGCTCAACTTCTCCCAGGGTTTGTCCACGCTGTAAAATTACAGCCAACATAAAAGGACATCAGTGTTGAGTGTTCAGGGTAGCAGGGCTGTTGTGTTTCCTATCCCATTAACTGGGTCACCACGGCTAACTGTGACACTGACCCTAGTGATACTACAACTGTAGTTCACATCCAGGACAAAGTCACATTTAATACGGCACCAGCTGATGCACGTGGCCACGCGGTCTGGTTTTTCACCAGTGAGCTCAGACGGGCACATGCCTGCGTGAGCAGGGCCCCGTCTGATCCGTTCTCCTCAGACGAGATGCTGCGGCAGAAGCGGGATAGGAGGATGGATGGTTTTCCTCATGGATCAAGCTGGGCGGCTGTAGAGACACCAGGTCAACCCCAGGGGAGGACCTGCCACCCTTGGAGTTGTTCAAGGGACATCTGGAAAACCTGAGTGCATAACTCTGTGCTGAGAGGCTGTAGAGGATTCAAAGTAGGTGACGTAAAAGATCTGTCCCCTGAAGAGAAGGGAAACCAGACGGCTCAATGCAGAACGAGACAATGTGCTAGCTGTAAATACCAAGGAAAAGTAGAAGTCATCTCAGTGTATGAGGTGACACTTGGAACATGGGTAAACATAGCCTAAATCTTGCTGCTTTCAAGAGTCCTGAACAATGGAGTTGTCAAGGGATGTGGTGAAATTGTTCCTAAATACAGGTATAGAAAGGGTGATGTCGGATTTCTTCCCAGGACTTGCTACTAGAAAAGCAGGGATTTGGAGATAGTTGCCATCATTTGAATACTTAGCTATGCGGTCTTTATTACATAAAGACAATCTTTAATAAATCTTCCCCCAGCTCCATCTGTCATGCTCTGTTAAAAGAAAGTATGGAAAAAAGGCTTTTGAAGCACAGGTCTAGTTATAGGTTCATTCGGATACTTCTTGTTCAGTCTAATCTCCCTCTCTTTAGGATCTGTCCACGTCGCATTTTGTACTTGTATCTGCCACCTAAGGGACAATTCACACTAATCTCATCCTGCCCAGAAAAGCCCTGGGCACTGCTGTGAATATCTTCTATCCTTTGCTTAGACAACAGAGGAGCAGTTTAGCAGGCGATCTGCCCTCCAAATAGCAACGAGTTATAAGGAATCCACAAGGAATCTCACCATGAGGATAATGTCCAAAACAAGGGATCTCAGCCTCAGACCACGGCTTCTTCCAGCCAGTCCCATCCCTGAACTGCCGTTAGAGGTCCTGCAGGAAGGCGCATAGGTGGTGGCCCACGTGTTGTGATGGGTTAGTCGCACCTAGTCCCGCACCAGGATGGTCCCCACGTACCCAGCCACATGCAGAGGCACCTTTTGGGCATGCAGCAGTCAGACATGGGCTCATATTTTTCTGCAAGGAGCAGCACGTGGCTCTTTCTGAAGGGTAATGTCATGGAGGAGGTTACAGATCAGAAGCTCTAAGCCTTGGCACGTAGTCACCTCGGGGACCCTATGATTTTTTGGGTGCTTCCTGACGCAGGAAGACGCACGCGAATCCTCCCGGTGGCGGCAGCGCGGTCCCCGCGCGTCGTCCCGCTGCGCCCACGGCCGCGCTGAGCACCGTGCTCTCCTACGTGTTATATATGACCGTGCGTTCACCCTTTATTCACAGATAACTCTCTCCACTGTTCTTAGGAGGAAAAAGAAGTGCATTCGGTACTTACAAGGAGAAGGACGCTGTGCCAGCCCAGTTTCTTCCGATGGAAGTGCTATAGACTCCCCTCCCTCTCCCCCGGATGCACTCCAGCGCGTCCCCTCCGCGTCGCCTCCGGACAAGCTCGCCGTCCCCGCCGCCCCCCGACAGCAAAGCGACCCCTGCCCCGGCCCCGCGCGCTCCAAACCCGCCGCCGGGACGTAGCCCGGCCGCCCCCCCCGCTGCCATGGACCCGAGGCCCTTTCCCTGTAAAAACTGGCATTGGCAAAAAAGAAAAAAAGAAAAAAAAAGGAAAAAAAAAAAAAAAAAGGATTTCCCAGCATTTGAGGATGCTGGGAAATTCATTTGGTTTGGGGGAGGGGGTTAAAGTCAGAAAGCTGGTAAAAAAGGTAAAAGTACTTGCCAAGTTTGAAAGCGCTGATGAGTAAACAAGGCTTTTGTCCCTGCCCTGTGCTGCTTTTCGTTTTGTTTTTCACTGCATCCCCTCTGCATACGGCAGAAAGCAAAGCTCAAGGCCCCGCTTGCTGCAGTAGCTCGTAGGTGCTTTCGATGGCCCCGTTGGTTTCCGTTCCCTGCGCGGGAGCTGCTTTAATCACAGGGAGTCTCAGACCTCTTGTAGCTGCAACCCCGCGACGCTGGAAAAGCTGCAGTGGGAGCATTGGTTTAAAGCCCTCTCGCCTGAAGACGACATGTAGCGATGCTGGGTTGCTGATCCGACCGGCTCACAGGAAAGACAAAATACAGATGAGGTGAATTTTTTTTAAAAAAAAAACTTCTTGTTGGAGAACAGGAAAACATTGTTTACAGGTAGCAGGTCTGCGTGCAGACGTGCCAACCCCACGAGCACGAGCGGGGCAGAGGGAACGGGGAGCACTAAGGAGCCCGCGGCAGCCGCGCGGGGCCCAGCTCTTCCTCGCTCTCTGCCCCGCTTGGGCACCGGGTGCTGTTAGGGATTTTTCACTGCAGATTCGGAGAGCCAATTCTCCTAAAAGAGCCTGTGCAAAGCCTCAGGTTGCTCCTAAAGCCTCAGTCTAGCTCCCTGCGAGCAGCTCTGCACCGGGCGCCCGGCCGGTCACTCAGGACGGAGAATCCCGCTCCAGCTCCAATAACTTTTCTTCTTAGCGAATCTGGGGTGGAGGACAGAGCGGGACGGGCTTCGGCACCGTTCTCAGGCCTCCCCTTCCTCAGGGGTAGTTTGCAAGCAGATCAGCACGGCCCTGCTCTCTGCTCGCACCCTGGTCCATGCTCCTCCTGGAAAAAAAAAAAAAGATATAGTTTTAACGATTTGGTGCGTAACTTGGAAAAAAAAAAACTAGCTTTTTCTAAAAGATCCTCCTTCCACCCCGTGATGATGCCAAATGTTCCTGTCTTCTCTCCAGCTTAAAAACAGTTACCGGTTTCTGATGTTTTATTTATATTCTGCGCTTGATAAACAACAAACACTGTGGGCAGATTCTGATCTCCGTAAACTGACGTAAATGCTATTTTAATCTGAAACTATTGGATTTATTCCAGATTTACACACTTGTCACAGAGATCGCACTCTAGTCCTCTGCATACTTCTTTCCTGCTTGAAGGAAATACATCCTAGACTGCTGAAGAGAAAAATAACACACGGAGGGAGAGAGGGGTCTATTTTTTTCTACTTTACAGAATAGAATTTAGAGTACTGGATACAAATAATGTAGTAATATTATTGTAGAACTGCAAGAAATTTAAGATGACCTTTATAATGTACAAAATATTTTTATATTTTTTCTTAATGCAAAAAAACAGCCTACAACTCCCTAATTTTTTACATTGGACTAAATATTTTAAACAAGTTTATGTGTCAAAGACGAAATTTTTTTTTCTGATTAAAAAAAAAAAGCAACAAACCCTGATTAGTCTGTAGAGCAGCTTTGGGTTTATTCCTTTTAGGTATTTTTGCTTATAGTAGCATAGTTTTTTAAAAAATTCTAGTTTTAGTTTAGAAGATCTAAAGCAATTGCTTTTATTCTTCTCCTGGGTAAACGTAACTGCAGAAGCACTGAAAGAAAGTTATGTGCACAAATTCAGAGCATAACCCTTAGAGCAGCAGCATTATCCAAAGAGGCTGCTACCTGCGTGTTTGAAGTCCTGCACTTCTCGCACGCAGAGGGTTCCTTACGTAGCACTAGATCCATATGCAATCTGCTAGCATTTAAATTATTTTAGCAAGTTTAGACAACAGCATGGCCTAGTGCCAAGTGGAGGAATTCAGCAGACTTCCCAGGTCTGACAGACTTTCTATGACTTGATCAAAAAAAAAAAACTGTCTTGAAAAATAAAGTCTCAGCTCACCATTTTTCACTTTGTAAGGTGCTGTGTGTCAACTACCGGGAAAAATGCAGATTGCAAAGCAGCAATAATGTCCATTAAGGTCTAGCATAACTCAAAAACTGTTTAAAACAGGAATAACTTGCACCTTCTTGGTATTTTGTGGTTGCATGAAACAAATACAACTTGGCAGCAAGGCAAAGGTGGGTATGCAAGAAAAAGCAGATGTGTTTTAATAACATCACAGGAAGGTGGGGGGAAAATCCTGCATGGAAACTGTGCTCCTTGACCAAGGGCCAAGCAGCACTAGCCTAAACAGAACAGCCATTCATTTCAGGTTGCTGGGACCTTCATCCCTTTGTTTCCAGGCTATTCCCAGGCGCTTCCCGGTGCTCGGGATGCTGCAGGCAGACTCACCTGGACACGGCCCTGCAGCTCCTCTCGGCGCTTTTGTCCCATCCAGGTGCTGCAGGATCCCGGTGCTGCTCCCGGGCAGCATCGTCCCGACCTTCTGCTCTGCCCGTACAGGGTATGGCCAGGTTTATCCTGCGCTTTCAGCTGCCACCGTATAAGCTCACAAGGCCTCCTGCTATAACACAGCCTGGCCAGGTTATACTGGTGCAGCTTTAATCTTTCCAAAACATGCAATAAAGAGACCTCCAAGCTGCCCCTTTCAAAGGCAATGTAGGGAGCAAGACTCCTTTTTTTTTTTTCTCCACATGCCTTTTGTGAATAACCAACACCAAAACAGAGAAAATTACAAATACCAAAAAAGTGTCTTTAGAAATACTATATGAAGTGTTACTATTTTGTGTTAATGTTAAAAAAAAAAAAATAGAAGGAAAACTTTGCCCTTTAGATGTTATCACAACAAAATCTTTTCTTTAAAGTTCCTTTACAGCCTTTTCAACTCTTTAGAATTACACATTTGGATTCCTGAAACCAGTTTGAATGTAGAAGTCATGGAAATACCACTTCATTAAACCAAGCAAAACCACTGTATGTATGTAGCAGGGATAAATGTTTTGCAGCTGTACTTTCATTTGTCCAATGACTATCCATCATTTGTTGTAATTTTTTTTTACTTCATTGAGTTTGTATTTTTTGGCTTTTATGTTCAAAATATGTTTATAGCTTTATAAATAAAGTAATTGCCAGACTGGCTGTTCAAATTAGGCCACTGGAAATTATAATCCTATAACACTGTCAAATAATTATTTCATAGAATTGAAGAAGAGTCCCACATTTTTTCAGTTTTATGTTACATACTTTTCAGAATAACTGCCCAAAGCCTCCCATAGGAAAGGCTGAAATGGTAAGTTTCATAAATTAAAAATCATAAGTCAAGATTAAGAAAAGTATCTTTGAGGTAAAACCATCACTACTGACAGTCTATCCCCAGCCCCATCTAATGGGTTTTGCCTTAATCATGCCATGATGTGGAAATACATGAGGCAGCAGCACTCAAGCTAAATGGTGACATAGTTTTTAACAAGATGGAAGACAGGGCAGCCTCTCACCTCTTGAGAGATTTCCAGGGATTTCCAAAGGGTTCCAAGCACCCATGGCAGCAGCAGCAGCCAGCTACCATGGTCAGCTGCACATCCATCCTTTGTGAAAGGTGCCAAGGGCTAATGTTGCTAAAAGGGAGCAAGTGAGCAAAACCCCCCTATCCAGCAGCTCCTCAGAGATTTTTTTTTCTTTTTTAACCCCACGCATTTCATGCAGCTTGAGGATTTGAATCCAGTATCACCTCAGAGAGGCTGTGGTGGGAATTCTATTAGAGCACAGATGCTGTATGCAGTCATAATTACTAGGACAACTAAGAACACGGAAATTTGTCACAGCTATGTAATCCCTTAACTATTTTTAAAATCCTTTCTTTGGTTTACGAAGTGGAGAGGCTATTTTTAATAAACACATTACTATGCTTTACTGCCCTAGTTATGGAATTGAGCTTGAACTACCAACAGGAGGAAGCGACTGGATGCAGGAGCTGGAGCAGAGGCAAAAGCCCCTGCTCCACCAGTGGTTAAAGCAGACACAGCCAGCCCTCTCCTAGGCAAGCTGCTCTAATCAGTCTTACCAGAGCTACAAGGTCAGAGCTGTGTGATTCTCAGCACAAAGATCAGTCATGATGAGTTTTCTCTGGTGGTACTTCTAAAATGAAGTGGTTTTTTTTTTTTTTTTTTTTTTAAATTAGAGGCTCCATCCTGTAGCCAGATCTGTAACACTGGCGTATTTTAAGCCATTGCCAATGCTAACAGCAGCACAAACACAAGTGCAGCAGCCACATGAATAAGCAGATGTAACAGGCAGATGGATCCAACACATGGTTCCCAGGGGAGTTTCAGAAGAGTCAGGAGCACTAAGGGGTGCAGTCACAGGAAACTGATTACCTAAAAGCTAGAAAGGCAGCAAAAAGAGTAAATATCCATCCGGATTGCATGTTACTCAGCTCCAGGATTAGTCTGAGAAGTTGCCATCTATGGCTGTGTAGTGGCCTCCATGAGAGTTCAGTAAAATGTTTACATCCATTTATTTCAGTGCTACTTTAATGCACAATCAGTAACGAATAGCAATTGGGTTGTCTAGTTTCAAATAACTAGAACCATGTGCAAATACAAGTTTAAAAGCCCTTTATTAATTCCAAAGTGAAACACTGATATTTAAAGTGAGATAAGTATGTTTATTAAGGTTCATTCTACTCTAAGGTTTATACAGAGAATGGAATGCAATACAAGCTAAGAGCACACCTCAAAGATCTACCACACAACCATCCCATACTCCCTATAAGGGAACTGTAAAAAAAAAAAAAAAAAAAAAAAAAAAAATAAAAATAATCAGAAAACCAGTTACTATTCAACTAGTTGCAAGTGGCTTTGTCCAAAGAAGTCAAGCTCAATATTGCATTAGCTTCATATGCAATAATCAAGTCTCTACAAGCTGAAATATCACATACAGAGGCAAAAGGATTTCCTGTAGACACATGAAACCATGTTTTAAAGAGCTACATCACAAGGGTTGTTTAAAATTGCCTAAAAACAGCCACTAATGGCATGCACAGGTCAATAATATTAACTTTGGTAATGTCAGTCATATTTTTTGGTCAAGCCTGGATTCCACTGTTAACATTAAAGGGTGTAAAGAACAAGCCTGTCCTGTGCACAAAGCAAAGCACTTATCTGCTACCAGCTAGAGGCAGGTCTTCAAGACATGGTCAAAAGACTCAACGTATCTGTCAGGAGCTCGCTCCGTTCGGGACTGTATTTCTTGCTAGTCTATCAGGCAAGACTAACACGACAAGAGAGTGGTCAAAGATTTCCTTCCCTCCCTCCTTCCACCTTCCTTACTCTTTTAAATGCAGAAGAACATCCCTCTTGAGAGTTACAAAACTTTAAGTAAGATTATTTCTCTCATGTAATCCTTTTGGAAGAAATCCAGCAACATTTTTACTTTGACTAGTTCCCCGAGACACTTTCTAGTTTTGCTCTGCCTTTTTAAAATTATCAATACCCTGTGAATAAAATGTTTTGTTCTGTCTGAGGGAAAAAAATGCAGGTGGTTTTATTTACAATGGAAGGTCTCAATGCTTAACATTGTAACTAGATTTGAACAGTTAAAAAGTGTAATGAAAATGACAACCTTAAGTGCTACTTTCCATAGAGAATCCACACTTAATTCAGTTTTATTCATTGCAGAGTAAAGTAAAAAGACATCCAATTACACTAGTAAAAACTCAGAGAATTTAAATTTGTACCCAAAAAACACTACACATGCAAAGGGAACAAGATCCTGCTAACACAACTTCATTTGCTGCTGCATTTGTCTAATATTAACAATTATGAACAGAGCAGTGCAACTAGTATTTGGAACAATCCTTACAGTGTTTGAGAATCAGGCACAATTCTTCACTTCTCTTCACACCACTGGTTCTCTTTACGTACCTGAAACATATTACATTAACAGTTATTATGCTGCAGCTAAGTTTCAGTTGCTGTAAGTTCTCTTTCAGGATTACATACTGCAAGATGGCACTGACTTAGAAGCTGGCTGCAACTTTTTTCCCCAGTGTTTGTAACTTAAAAATGAGCAATCAAAGCAAACTTCCACACTGGCCTCTATCAATATAAATTGAAAAAGCTATGCCTCTTGCCTGTATTGGGCATCATAACTGTCAAAAGCAAATGACCAGCTGAAAAATTGTCTCAAGTGCTCTGTCATGAAGCAGACAAACCAAAACCTAAAATCCACTGCCTTTTCCATCTAAATGTCTTGGTCTGATCTTCCAATTTAGCCAGTTTGTATTTGTTTCCTTGTTCAAGCTGTAGGATCAATGAGTTCATCACTTAAAGAGCATAATCTGAGCACCTCATCTTTACAGCCTCACACAACACTGCATTGTTACTAGGGCTCCAAAAACAGCATCCTGAGGCTGCCACAAACAATCCTGCATTTCTTCTTACAAGACAGACATCTGAGCTAAGAAATCAAAGGGCTTGTTTTGACTTTCCTCAGGTAATGGGCACAGTAGACACCAGAAGATCTTCTGCTAATTACAACTGAATTATGAGAATTAATACATTAGTCTGCTTATACTGTTAATAGCACGTTGGTTGCATCAGACACTAAGTTTTTGTGTAGCACCATGTATTAATTCATCATGAAAATTAAGGCCCTCATTCTGTCTGGAAAGCACAATACATGTTCACTACTGAATGCTGGAACTACATCTTCACTATGTAAGCCAGCTAAACTGTAATTAAACCCAGATAATCTCGTACCTGTGCTTCTTCCTCCTCAGTGAAGTCATTCTTAATGTTGAATGTCTTGCGAATTTCTTCTGGAGTCTTCCCCTTGATCATGTTTGCAACTGTCTTGCATGTGACATCAAGCAAACCCTTGATGTCAAGGTAATTTGCAGCCTGTAGGGGAAAAAATCCAAATCTAAAGCCTTCATATCAAGGTTGGATGTTTACTAAAAAATGCTTACGCTGAGAGCACAGAATGCTGTAAACTGAACAGACCATTTCCACATTGATAAATTTCTTCAAATAACTTTAAAATAAAAGGTATCTAGAGCTTCCTGCTAAACAAAAAAAAAAAAAAAAAAAAAGTTATTTGCATGGTAAGGGATCCCTGTTTAGAAAGGGCTTTCAGTCTTTCAAGCACCCACGATCTTAAATGCTGTCAGCTTGCTAAGTAATAACAAGTCATAGTACTACCAAAGGGGCACATTTAAAAAAAATCAAAAATGATTTCAATATTCATATTCAGATCACCATTGAAGATTCAATTTCAAGAAAGAAGTGCTCAACTAAAATTTAAAAGCTAGAAAAGGAGGGGTAGAAAAAATAAAAATAGTATAGCTGTAGGTTCCCAGATTCAAAAGAATTTAGGAAATGAAAATTGGTAGGTGAACACATAGAATAACGCTTAGCATCAAGTCAACAGGCATTTTATCTTCAACAATTCCACTCTGAACTGTAAAATAGAAATTGCCAAAACTACGTGTCCCTCCTCCCCCTGCTACATCCTCCCCGTAAGAAACTATTAAAAAGTATTAATGACTAAAGCAGACAAGTGGAGGGCAGATATTGTCTTGACACTTCTTGAACATACGTACCAGGATCAGTTCAAAGAGTGTTCCTTGGTCTACTTTCAGGAATTCTTGATCCCACACAGGGATGTCATCTGTTCTTTTTTCTTTGTTCTCATCATCCTCAGGAGGAGGTGGATCATCTTTGTGATGGGTGCACCACTGAATCACCTGATTTTGATATTAATATTAAAAGTTTGACCCCAGAGATTCTACCATTAACATGCAAACACAACTCCAGATTTAGAAGAACTGCACCTTTTTCTCTAGATTAGTATTACAGAAGTGATGTACTAGCATGCTCTATTATCTTTATCCGGTTTTGGTCTTGGAAGAGTCAAGCTTCCATATTCCAATCCTGGAATGCACAGGCCTTGAAGAATCCCACTGGAGACAGCAGCTACTTAGGATCCTAAAGGTAGCTGCTGATGGAAAGGTCCTGGCTAATACACATGGCAGTGTGCAAATGAATCTTTAACCTCATTTTGAGGTGTTTAAACTGTTTGCTGAACAGGAAACAAGTAATTCTTGTTAAGCAAAATACTACATATGGAAAGATCATGGAGTGGTGCAGCACATCAGCAGGACACATTTACTCCAGCACAAAAGACACCTAGCAAAACTTTGCATGTTTCCACGTTACTTGAATTGTATTTATTTTTACACTGTCTCATCATCCTGATAATTAAAAGGACAAGGGATCAGCTCCAAGGAAAATCCTCTTGCATTCTGCCAAACTAAACCACAACTTCAGAAGCCAAGTTATTTATGCACATTTTCACTAGAAAATAATTCTTAACCCTGTACTTATCCCAATTCATTTTAGCATTTACTTTGGCTCAAAGCTTTCCACTACAGAGCAAAAAGCATCTCAGAATAGAGCAATATTCTTGTTTTTGCTTTCCTCATTTGACCAAAGAGCAGCCATGGCCTATTATTAAATTTAACACAGGCAAGCATTTACAGTCTGTAACTGCAGCACAAGCACAACACCCACACTGTGCACTCAGTGCCAGTGACACTCGCCACTGTCTGTTCCTTAAACTTTTCTCCTAATATTCAGATCTCATGAACAGCCACCTCAATTCATAGAATCCAATTAAAATTGGTGTTTTAATATCATGAAATGCTAATATGCCTTAACAGCAACTCTGCCACTAGTTCCACATTTTCATTCAACACTACCATTTCCAGCACCTTACCTTTTTTAAAATAGCAGCATTAACGTTCGGAAGAGGGACTGGGTCATCATCACCTTCATCATCCATTCCCAGATCTGGAAACAGAAAGACAACTAAGCAACAGAGTAGCTAAACCATTTATTTTCTCCAAGCTGGACTGCTTCACTAACACAGTGAAGTCAGGATCCCTCTGAAAGCCTCAGGGCCATAGCTGCACTGCACATACTTTGGACCGACCTCAGTGCAGCAGAGTAACTCACAAGGCTACCCAAGTGAATAAGATGCTGATATACTCTGAATATCCGCAACCTATTAAGCAATCACTTGCTTAAGTAGAACTTCCTAGTTTCATGTTCTGGAAATCAAATGTGCTGAAGAATTAGAAGGTAAATATATAAGTATTTTTACCATTTTCAGGATTTCAAGTCGCGAGTTAAAACCAAGCGTTCCAACTAAGACCTCCCATTCAATTTATTATTAAATAGGCACTTAGAGCTGCTGAGTCAAGCACAATGTTTTGTCCCTGCAGAACAGTACACAGTGCAGCCATAAAGATGCCAATTATGTGGCCTCCAAAGCATCCGCATTGAGCTTTACAAGCCACGTAAGTTTACAAGCTAAGGCAGCAAAGCACTTAAAGCAAAGCTTGATAACTTCCATTTTAAAAGCCCGTCAGCATCCTAAAGAAAAACTGAATAAGTTTTGTCCGTTTGCCCTCTTGACACAATTGAAATGTTTAAATTTTGACTCTAGACTGAGAAGTAAGCTTAAAAACTAGGATTCAGCTAATGTACTATTTATTCTGTGCTTTGGATCTATCTTGCAGTAGGAACACACAAGTCTTTTTACACATGTGCTAGTCATTGGATATGACCCTACCTGCCCTAGGTGAGCACACTGTACCAGCTCTGAAAGGGAGTAACTGCACAACAGACATTTATTGACACACATGGATGGGCCAGTTTTACATCACCATGAACTTAAGAATTAGGAGCAACTGCCACACGACTAATCATATTTGTTCCAACAGTCAAAAGGGCATTGACTTGCCTAAATACAGGAGTACACTACTGCCATCACTAGTGGAATATTAATTAGTGTTATTTTCTGTTTGGAGTAACGAATTTCTAAGGCTGACAGATTAAAATGCTGACACTAAAGACTACTTGATTAGTGGAAATTTCAAAAGTAATGGCAGATACCACCATAAGAAGGGACCTGTTGGT